AAAAAGAAAATTATACAAACAAACAACAACAGAGCAAATTAGAAGTTCTCTAGAGCTAGGAGGGCGGGATGATGGGTGGATAAATTAGGAATAACTACAAAGGAGCACAAATTTCTTTCTGGTGGGATTAGAGTACACTACAGTTAGATTGCAGGAATGGTTGATTGTGGTTACACACACACACACACACACACACACACACACACACAAATAAACTCATGTTCACATTGCAAGAATTATCCCTACATGAGCCCCAACCCAGAGAAGTTCCATGTTTATTTTTAGTGAATATACAGAAAACCACTGATGTGCCCACTTGACTGTGAACTGTGAGTTATTCAGCACTGTTTTAAGAAAAAAACCATCAATATTCAACTGTTAAAATGATGTTTAGCTTTTCTCAGCTTAGCCTGTGGGAACATGCTGCAGCAGCATGTCCAGGAGAAAAGGTCCAACTGTGGGGCTGGGGCAATGACTCAGTGGATAAGAGCACTGACTGCTCTTCCAGAGGTCCCAGGTTCAATTCCCAGAACCCATATAGCAGCTCACAACCTTCTGTAACTCCAGTTCCAGGGGCTCTGACTCTCTCATATAGACCTACCTGCAGGAAAAACCACAATGCACACGAACTAAATATAAATACTTTTTTTAAGTTTCAGTTGTATCATTGCTGGTCGCAACACACCAAGAATTGTTCTTGGTGGATTCTTAGAGATACTTTCTCTTGAAAACAATTTAAAGCAAGACAGGGGTACAACATCTAGTTCATGTCATCTATTATCATAGCCAGCACATCCATCCACCTGTTTGCCATTTAAAGGTAATGGGGACAGGTGACTCCCAGTGGTGATAATTTAGGACTTATATCTTTGTCTTTAAACAAAGCTTTCAAAAATTGGTTAAAATTTCACTGCAGAAGTTAGAAAGCTGGCTCAGCAGTTAAGAGCATTTGCTCTTCTTCTAGAGGACCTAGGTTCAGTTCCCAGCATCCACTCATATGGCTCACAACCACCTGGATTGGAGTTCATTTCCAAAGGATCTGACACTGCCTTCTGGCCTCTGGGCATGCGCACACATATGACATTCACTCACCTGGTCACAAACACATACACATAAATTTAAAAAATAACAGAAATAAATTTTTTTTTTGTGGCTGGAGAGACAGCCGTGGATGCTGGGAACCGAACTTTTATATTTTTGGTTATGAGCCTAGCCTTTAACAGCTGAGCTATCTCTCCAGCCCCAGAAATAAATCTTTAACAAATGTTCTCTATATTATGATGTTTGTTTTCTTTGTGTTGTCTTAATAGTTTCTCTCTCTCTCTCTCTCTCTCTCTCTCTCTCTCTCTCTCTCTCNAAGGTGGCAGCAGGTCTGACGGTCACTGTGCCGTTGATGTCAGACCATGTTAGCTCACAGTGACAGCGTCTCATTTGGTCATTTATCTCCTTTATCAGATGGTTATGTTTTTGAAAGAACTTCCACAAAGGAAGGCCCAGTGACTCTTGGAAAGATGCTGGAAGCTTGACCAGCGGCTTCTCATCGCCATACAAGGCTGTGCCCAGAGAAGGATAATAGGGGAAGACAGACAGTGGCATCCTGTTGAAACTGTGCTTCTTGGCCAGAATGGTGTCTAACACTTTAGATACAAAATAAACAGACAAACAAATACATAAATAAATTACAATAATCTTAATGTCATGCATTTCCAAAGACACAAAACAACAACAACAAAAACTTTTCTAGAGGGCAAAAGTCTCTGCTGTTTGTAGAACTCAAAGGTGGCATTCTCCCATGTGCTCAGCTATAGACTGATGCCAACCACAACAGACAGACTCCATTTATGGCTAAGATGACTTTATACACACATCTCTCAACACGGAAATCATGCTGAGTCCATTGTTTTTCTGATGTCACTGATGTATGTGGCACAATAAGAAACAGACACTAATTTGGACACAGCGTGGGTTTGATGTTTGTACCAACACAAGGAATGGTTTAAGGGCTGGAGAGATGGCACATCAGCTAAGAGCACTAGGCCACTCTTCTGAAAGACCCGGGTTCAATTCTCAGCACCCACAAAGCAGCTCACATCTGTCTGTAATTCCTGTTCCCTCACATGGATATACATGCAGACAAGACACCAACGCACATATCATTTTAATACTCTGGGTGGATCATTCTGAATTCTGTCCCTTCCTGTGTAGTCCCAGAATTTAACTTCCATACCTAACTTCATTTCTAAGGAGAAGATAATTGTAACAGCACTCTGTGTAACTTTCCCAAGGGCTTTACATAAATTTCTTGTGTTTACTCTTGACAGTGGTCTTCTCAGGTAGAGATTCTATTACACTCATAGATAGACAGAGGTGAGAAAGCTGAGGCTGGGAAAAGTCAGGGTTCTATACACCCAGGGAAGTATCTGAGCTAATTGTCAGTAGGAGCCAACACAGACCCTGTTAAATAAACAGAAAGGGGTGGAAAATGCCCTCAAAAATAGATTACATAATGCCTATTAACCTTGAATTTTCTTCACGCTAATGAAAAAGGAACAGCAGCAGCAAAAAAAAAAAAAAGAACAAACAAACAAACAAAAAAACACAACAACATTGGATAATGGAAAAGTCTGTTAAACTAAATCAACCGGTTTATTTCAAGGATGTGCTGACCTCTCAATGGAAGCCAGGAGATGTGCTACGTTGGGGAAGGGGTTTTGCTCTTGTTTCCACAGGAGAAGAAAAATTGTGGATACCATCAAAATTAATAAAGGTTAGATTTGAAGAGGAGAAGCCTCTTGGAAAGGAGAAATAACAGCATCCACAATGATGATAACCATACAGAATCCCATAGAATAGGGGCAGGGTTCTGTTCTTATCTCCACAGGAAAACACTCATCTTTAAAAAATTCAAGGGACTCTGGGTGTTTGAATACTGATCGGTGGAAAAATAACTATCCAATAGGGACTATCAAGAAAACTGAACAGGTTCTGTGAATATGGGGCTCTGGGATATACTAAATCATATTTCTAACTTTATAGAGCTGGTTTTGGAGTTGGACTCTCGGCTCAGTCCCTCTCTCATTCCAAGCCTGTTGTTAAGAGAAAAACCCAGAGTTTCTCGAGTTTCTGTCTTCTGTCAAGAGCCATGATATGAGACAAAAAGAAATATGAATTTAGAAAACATCTTTGCTTTTCTTCATATCTATCATACTCTTCATTGAATATATCTATCATACCTTTCATTAAATATATGTATGTCTGTATATGTCTATATAATTAATGTTTGAGTTTTCCACAATGAACAATGAGTTTTTTCTACACTGATTTTTGAAGTTTCCAGGAAGAAGATGGGGCTCCCATAAAAACAACTCCACTCGGTTGATATGACGTCATGATGCTGATAGTGCTACAACAAGTCCTGTTTCAGGTTTCAGCTGAACATATGATTCCAACTTGGTTAGCTGAAATGGTGCACATCTTGTACAACATCCTGGCCAGACCTCCACAAAATACTCAGACTGTTTGCAATTTTAAAAGACGTTGATCTTGAAATTTAACCATCATTTTACTTCCATAGGATCCTTCCGAAAAACATCACCCCCATGATAGCTGAAAGTAATTCTAGAGGAAGATGTTCCCTCTCTCAACAAAGATTGTCCTCGGATTTAGGGGCAATATTTAGGGGTTGCTTACAATTAATATACAGTTGAGGGTTGGGAGAGGAATTTTATAAGCTCAGGGATATTTTTGAAAAAAAAAGAGGGAAAATTGGATAGATAATAATGATGGTATTTGTGAGTTATTGTTTATATATAATTACATTGGTATAGATTTTTTGTATATGGATACAAAGTTAAATTATATTGAATATTGTATCACACATGCTTCTACCTCTGTTTAAAACATTTTTATGTATTGATATATATATTGTATTGATATATGTATACCATACTGCAGTGTACATTTCTACCTTTGTCTAAGATACTTATATATTATTTATGTATTGATATTCATTGTTTACATTTGGAGGTAATTGTTCTCATTTGTTTATTCTCTTAGTACTTAAGTTAGATAAGTATTAAGATTTGTAGATCAATAGTCATCTATGTCTGTCGTATTTATAGTTAGACTAATCAAGTTCTTTAGATACATAGAGATTATATTTTGTATAAATAGTCTTCAACCTCTTCGAAGAGCTGTAGAAAATGGCATTTAATTTAATCCTAGAGTTCTGTGGTAGTAAGACACAATTACTTCTGGCAACACCGACCTATTCCCAAAAGATTGTTGAGCACCAAAGACACTCCACTTGGAGCTTGTCTTCTTGACAAAACTGGCCTCTGGGCAAGGAACTGCCCATACCTCAATTACTGACAAAATACACAGTATCCGGAAATGGATAAGCAGAACTGTCAAATCTTATTAAGACATTAAGACAGGGTAAGACGGGTTTGAAAAATCTCTTGCCTGTTAAAAATAATCTGTCAGTTATTCTAGGCCTTAGACAAAGTTGGTTGCTTCAACGCTGAAAACACGAGTTTGGGTGATTGCCGAGGTAGTCTCTGTGATTTGTTACATGTTTTGGAAGTTGTTTGATTGCACTTCCTAATTACTCAGGTAACATTATTTCCCTTCTCGGATCTTCTATGGGGTTGAAGACTAGGTAAATGTAGCAACTTTCCTCTCATGACTTGTCCAAGTTATTTATTAAGCAAGACATAGGCTAGTTAGGATAGGATATGTCTTCTTATTTTTTTTTGTTCTTATTGTCTATAATATTGTAGTAGGTTTAGAATGCTCTTACTTAAACAAAAGGGGGAGGTGCTGCGGGAGGACCTTCCACTCCTTCAGTCAATAGCTGCTGAAATACCAACCCACTGGGGTGTGGTCTATATATCTTTAAAAAAGAGCGGCAAGCCTCAGTCCGCTCTCTTGGTTCCAGCACTTGGTTCCTGCTCCTGCTCCAGCGACTAGGCTTCTTTCTTGACGGTTGGTGGTTTGTGAGTTTTAACCCCAAAATAAATGCCCCTTTAAATACTAACTAGTGTGGGATTGTTTTGCGCATTAAGACCCCATGGTCTTGCTCCTATATCAAATCAAAATCATCCTCACAGTCATTGGAGAGTCCAGCCCCAGAGGTCACAATTTAGTAAGGCCTTCCCCATTATATCTCCCGGTCACCATGTGTACCAGGCCAGCCACCACAACCCACCCTGACTGAATGCTCACTTTCTCTCTCTCTTTCTCCAGGACTCACCTCACTTTGTTTTAGCTGTTGGCATGCGTAAATAATATCAGCATGGAAATTAGAATCAGTCCCACAACAACTTGGATTTAAATGGCACCCATGGCAGAAAGATGCTAAAACATGATACCCTGGTGAAGGACTCAGTCCTAGGGCAGTTAACAGGCCTGCGGGAAGGAATGTGACCTTCAGAAGCCCAACCTCCCACAGGGCTCCAGATGGGGTGGACAGCCTGAGTGACCTCCAGCTCAGACTCAGCACCCCCTTAGGCCAAGCACTGCTGAGGGACTGTTTCCTTTTCTCCTACAGCATCCTCTGAGGTAACTCCAACACTACCTCTACAGATGAGAAAACAGAAGGTTTGAGGGCTCACGAAGGTCACCATGCCTGTGACCACCAGTCAGGATTGTAACTCAAGTCTGTCTGACTCAAGAACCACTGACGATGTCATCAACAACAGGACTTCCATCTCCTCCCCCAGGTTATGAGAAATCTCCATTATCCCATTTCAGCACAGGGACAGCACAGGGGGAAGAGGAACGCTTTCTAGAACTCTACATGCTTCTGAGTCCATCTCTCCCTAAACCTGTTGATTAGAGAATCAATGCAGGGACATAAAACACAGATCTATGGTGGTGAGTATGGCCTGTCAACATTCCTAGAATGGCAACCTTCAGTCACAGGCCGGACTCGTCAGAGACTCTCCCTGTCTCTCATGAGCTTGTGCTGCTTCTCCAGAGCCTGCCTTGCTGCCCTCGTTCTGCACCAAATCCAGATGAATGAGAGATTGGTGCCATTTCTGACAGATTAAGGAATGGCTGAAATGGCCAACCATCCAGGTCTTCCCGGGTGGCAGGCCAAGACACATTACCTTTGCAGTCTGAAAACTCAACCAGCGCCGCGCTCTCTTCTGGGAAACACTCGACCTGGGTGACTCTTCCGCCCCCATTGAAAGGGTTTTCAAAGTAGAGCTGCAGCTGGTAGTCATCTACCCCAGGAGGCAGGTTTTCCACCCTAACTACATTTGTTGTTTCCAGAAGTCTCGGCGCAAGCTGTAGCTGTCGGTTCGAATGGTGACTGATACAATCAATAATAAATTTTTTGGTATCTACAAAACAGAAAGAAAATGAGAAAATTTCAGTGGTATGGGGGGCTTGGCTACAACCCAGAATGTGACTAGTCAGCTACTGTATTTTCTGCTACTGAGCTGTCCTTTGGCCATGGCCAACCCTCCTGAATGCACTCCTCACAATGCCACCCCTCACCCTATTTTCTCAAGTCCATTTATTCCCATTATGACAGCAGGTTGGAGCCCACATCCACAGCTAGGCTCCTGACTCCAAACACACATCCAAGTAGCAGTTTCAGTTTTATTTTCATGTTGCTATAGACAAGTAGTCATGAATCAGGTGATGGTGGTGCATGCTTTTAACCCCAGCACTTGGGAGGCAGATACAAGCAGATCTCTGTGCGTTTGAGGCCAGCGTGGTCTACAGAGCTAGGTTCAGGACAGCCAGGGCTACACAAAGAAAACCTGTCACAAAAAAACAAAACCCAAACGAAAACAAACAAACAAACAAAGCCAATAACAAAAAGTCAACTAGCTATGTTTTCAAGGTTCTCTTTTGTCCTTGTATACACAATTGCCCGTGTCTGCAGTGCCCTTGTCTGAAATGCTCTTCTCCAAATGGGATCGGTGGTTTTATTGTGTGGCTAAGGATAAAATTGAACCATGCTACCAAAATATGGCTATGTCTACAGCCCTCCCTCCTCTGTTTTTTTCAGTTGGTCCTATTTACTTTCAGGACTCAGCCTAACTATCTCTTTTAAATCAACAGGGGGATGGTGGGCCTCTCACATGCCAATCATTTTGCTGGGATCTGAGAAATGAATACAAGTCCTTGTTTGTGTATCACTGGGCAGGTTTGGATCTTAAGCACAGTTGAATTGCCTTTTGGACTCCAATAAGGAACAAATGAAATGGAGACTCAGACTCGGTATATGGTCTATATATGTCTCTAATTTGAACACTAAAGTAGGGGTTGCCAAGTGGATAAGAGGAGGGAGCAGTGCCAGTATGAACAAGCGTCGTGTCCTGTGGAGATGGTCAGGTGACACAGCTGGAGGACACACTCAGGTAGGGACAACTATGCAGGGTCCTGTCTCCACCCCTCTCAGGTTACTACACCTGGGAGACAGACTCTCTTTCTTCTCCATTATTCATTGACACACACGCCTCCTCCTCCTCCCAGACTGAGTTCCTCCAGAGAGGGAGCTATGATTAGTCATCTTTGTGCCTCAGCCCCTAGACCAGTGCCTGGCCCACAACAGTGGCCATAGTTTAGACCAAAACTGTCCCTGAGGCCCATGTGTTAAAGTCTTAGTCCTCACCCAAGTGCTATGGGAAGTAGTGGATCCTTTAACAAGTGAGGCCTGTGGGAAATGTCCCAGTCATTGATGGAGGAGGCAGGGATAAGACGAGCCTGGACCCTCCCCCTCTCCCCCCGCTTTCTCTCTCTTTATGTCTGTCTGTCTGTCTGTCTGTCTGTCTGTCTCTGTCTCTCTCTGGCTTTCTCTGTCTCTCTCTCTCTCCTCTATGCTGCCACTATGCATACCGTTTCAACATAAGCCCCAGGGCAGCAGGGCTAACCGACCATGAATTGAAGCCGCCCAAACTGTGAACTGGCATAAACCTCTCTTTTTGGAGGCTGATGACCTCTGGCCTTTATTACAGTAATATAAGCTAACAAGAATGCACTCAAGATTGCACTAAGGGTAAGTCTGTTGGCATCATTGCCTTACAGAACTGTGGCATGGTAACAGGCCAGTCTTAACTCCTCCTGGGGAAGTAGAGGAAGAGTTCAAACTCTTCCAGTTAGAATTGCCTGGGACTTTCTATTTATCCCCCCACCCCACCCCATCCCACCCCACCCACTCAAACAATCATGTAATAAAGGACAGTCTATGAAAAAGACCCAAATTGGATTTCAAAATGAATTTGTTCATCTTTCCAAAATCTGAGAAGAAAGGCCCCTGTATTGGCTTAGAGGCCTTGTTTACACAATACAACAAAATGTCACATACTCAGAGATGTCCCAAACTCTGGGGTGTGGTGGACAGAAGCCTGGGAATGCAGGGCCTCCCTGGGCCTGGGGCTCACCTATAGGCTTCTGAAAGGTAACCACGGCAACACCAAAATCTCGGATCACTTCCACCTTAAAGTCGTCACTAGAGAAGCCGCTTATATTCTCCACCAGGATGGTCAGCACTATGACAGTCACTTTCTCAGGCAGGTTTTCAAAAGCCACCATGGAGGGAACAGTTTCACATTCTTTGGAGACATCTTCTGTTCTGTTGCTAGGAGAATGTGCTGTATCCAAATCATCTGAGGAAACTGGAAATTACAATGACAGGTGTAAGGTATCAAGTCATGGTTTAATTAAGTACGTTATCCCGAGACAACCCTAGCCCTTATTCATATCTTGGCTAACTCTGCTAAAAGGACATCACAGTAGAACTTTTGAATTAGTGAATTAAAAACTAAAATGTAGCTGATGTGGTGGTGCATGCCTTTAATCCCAGCATCCAGAGGCTGGGGCAGGCAGATCTCTGTAAGCTCCAGGCCAGCCTGGTCTACAGAGTGTGTTCAAAAACAAGACCAAAAATGTAGTAGTTGGGGGTTTTGTTGTTGTTCTTAGTGGATTAAAAACCAAAAGTAGCCCTTGTTTTTTTATTTTGCTGTTGTTATCACTAATTCAATTTTATTATATTTTCTGTTCTGTCTTTCAGAGGAAGGTGTTGTAGGGTGCTGCGGGCTGCGTTCCTGCCACCCCAGCTCCTGGCTGCCTGGCTAGCTTATGCCCCGAAATAACAACACACAAACTGTATTCATTTAAACACTGCCTGGCCCATTAGCTCTAGCTTATTACTGGCTAATTCTTACATCTTGATTATCTATTTCTATTAATGTGTGTTGCACCTCAAGGTGCGCTTACCGGGAAAGATTCAGAATGTCTGACCTAGCGGCTGGCTGCATCACATCTGGCTGTGAGAGGAGCTGCCCTGCATCTGAGCTCACTGCCTCTTCCTCCCAGCATTCTGTTCTGTCTACTCCACCCACCTAAGGGATGGCCTATCAAATGGGCCAAAGGCAGTTTGTTTATTGACCAATGACCTTCCTCCATCATTTCCCCTTTTTCTGTTTAAACAAAAAGGCTTTCACTTTAACATAGTAAAATCATACATAACAAAACAATGATCAAGCAATATTTACAGTTACAATATCTATATTTACTTTATCCTTTATCATAACTAAGGAAAACTATAACTATAACTATCTATCTGAATTCTTCAAATCCATCAAAGACTCCAGAAGGATATATTACCTAAGTAAATGAGAAGTAAGCATCTTACAAAACTCTAGAAATGACAGAGACATCTGGCTGCCTGGACAGTCACCCAAAGTTCCTCTGTACTGTTGGGGCATCCATCTTCGGCCTACAGGCCCATAGTTTCCAGAGACATTTCCATGAAGCAGGAAATTTCAAAGTCAGTTCAGTCACTATCTTCTGTGTCCTGCAGAATGTCTCACAGACTCTTTCATGAATCAGGAACCCTGAAAGATCATCTCACCTTTAGGCAAGTTCAGCAGTCCTCTTTCTGTGGGTTCTTCGTGTCTATTATGCAACAGTCCAGGCAAGAACAGTTTCTTGCCCAAATGGCTATCAAACTCCATAAGGTGCCTTTTCAATGCCCTACTTCCTTTTGAAGTAGATTGGTGCTGCCAGGAGCAGGAGTGTCTCATTGTCATGGAAAGCCCTAAATTATTAAAACATTAAATAGCATATTCTGTAGTCTTTGAAAGATATGAAGAATGTCTATCTAAAATATATCTATGTACATCTAGAAAAATCTAACTAACATGACTACAAGCTTGATTATTATTAATGATTATCCATTAACAACCTATATTTCCTAATTATACTTTACATTTAAAAAATGAACTATACAATCACAATACCTTAAATCAAGAGCAGAAATACATATACATATAACAAAATTGACCTTAAAATCCATACCAATGCAAATTATTCATACCTATATCATTTCCCCTTTAAATGTAAAAGAACATTTATAAACAATATTTGGGAACATGGGCGCAGTTTTTTGTCTCCAAACTGCTTCCTGCTGAATGGGGGCGCTGTTATTCAGATCTTTCATGGTGTAACCTGTGTGCCAGGGTCATCTCAGTCGGCAGTTGAGTGAAGTAATTTTCAAAAGGTGTTCACAACAACCTATCAGGAGGGCGTGATCTATCATACCATATTGGGATAGAAGCAATCCAAAGAGTCTCATCCTCTGTGAAAACAAAAGAAACTCCTTTCCAAAGCATCATGTCCTTAGATTCAAATTTTAAAGTCAAGGTATTTTGAAAATATCTATCTTGGATTAGTTCAGTAGCATTTATAAACAAATATCTTTTAGCAGCTCTTGCTCCTTCCTCAGCATTCAAAGAATGCAAACAGAGCATAATAGCATACAGTATCAAGATTCTCTGTGTATTTTCCATCTTTGTGTGGCTTTATTTTAACCTCTAGTTTGTTTATTTTTACTTTTGTTTTTTGCTTTTTGAGACAGGTTCTCTGTATATCTTTGACCTGTAATAACTCTGTAGTCCAGGCTGTCCTTGAACTCTCAGAGATCTGTCTGTCTCTGCCTCCCAGGCATTGGGATTAAAGGTGTGTGCTACCACACCTTGGAGTCACAGAGGTCAATCTCCCTCTGCCTCCCAATTGTTGGGATTAAAGGTGTGTACTACCACACTCAACTACTCTCTTTCTTCCTTTTTTTTTTTGTTTTTTACTTTAAGAACTTTAACTTTTAGCCTGCATATATTTTAACACACTGTAAATCATTTAAAGGTTCTCTTTGTCTTTGAATCTCTCTTTAATGTATATCTCTCTTTTTATGAACACATGAGCCTTTAATTTACCAAGCAATATAGGTAGGATTAAAGCCGTGGCTTTGAAGGCTGGATCCAGCCCATTCCTTAGCTTTCCACCCTCATGGCGGAGTACCGATTGTAGCCACGTTTATCACCACAACTCTGTGGCGTTTCAAGGTCCCTGCCAACAAGTAAGCTGCAGCATTATGTCCACAGACAACACTCAAGTCCTCTCTTTGTAGTCAGCCCTCCTGCCTCAAACAGTCAGAGTTTTCTCTGGCAGGACAGCCCAGAAAGCTGGCATTTTTAAACGGTGCAGTTTTTCCTGCTATGGCTGAAAACCGAAAAGCATGTGTTTAGCTTTTCATCAACATCGTTTAAGTGTTTCATGGCAGGACCTCTTAAAAGAGCTGCAGGATTTTGCAGCTAAAGCTGAGCAGGAAGCCTCTCTTAGATGAGAGCAGTTGCTTGCCTCTAGCAAGCAGAGCAGACCTGAGAAATTGCTGTTACCAAGAAAACATGCTTTACTCTATTCTTTCCCAAGCTTTCTCAGGCTTTCTGTGGACTCAGTTGCCCCACGTTGGGTGCCATTCTGTTGTGGGAGCTGTGGGCTACGTTCCTGCCGCCCCAGCTCCCGGCCGCCTGGCTAGCTTATGCCCCGAAATAACAACACACAAACTGTATTCATTTAAACACTGCCTGGCCCATTAGCTCTAGCTTCTTACTGGCTAATTCTTACATCTTGATTATCTATTTCTATTAATGTGTGTTGCACCTCAAGGTGCGCTTACTGGGAAAGATTCAGCATGTCTGACCTAGCGGCTGGCTGCATCACATCTGGCTGTGAGAGGAGCTGCCCTGCATCTGAGCTCACTGCCTCTTCCTCCCAGCATTCTGTTCTGTCTACTCCACCCACCTAAGGGATGGCCTATCAAATGGGCCAAAGGCAGTTTGTTTATTGACCAATGACCTTCCTCCATCAGGAAGGGGCATTCTCCCTCATATGTGTCTCTCGAGTACTTGACTGTGATTACAGAACCAAGCTTCTACAGTCAGGGTAGAGTCTTCATCTCTGTGCTGGGGACACACGGCAGACAGCTGAGGCTCATCAGGTGACCACTGCGTTAGAGAACTACTGTTGGCCTCCCTGGAGGAGCAAAGGTATAGGAAGCTGTGTACATACTCGTGCTAACAAAGTAAGAGTTTAAGGATTACACTGTAGCAGCATTAGTGAGGAATGACTCCCTGGGTTAGACAGCATGCTGTGTAAGTGTGAGGGCTGGAGCTTGAATCCCCAGCCCCCTTGTAAACAGCAGGGCATGGCTACATGTGTCCAGTGTGGAGAGCAGAAATGGGCAGATCCCAAGAGCTTCCTGGCCAGCAAGCCTAGCCAAAGGGGCAAATGTAGGTTCAGTGAGAGACCCTGTCTCCAGGCTGGAAGGCAGAGTTATGCAGGGAAAGAATTCCTCTCCCCTAGATTCGGTGTCTGCATCTCTTGGTTGTCTTGATCACCTTATTCAGTATGGTTCTTCATTTGGTGCCCTTTACACAGGTATTATTAGCTGTTCCTTCATTTAAGTCTTGAGCAGGACCCACCCACCAGCACAGCAGGAGACCTGATCCCAGCCCCAGTGCTGGCTGTTTCCTGTGCAATTGAGGAAGTAAGAGCTGGTGCCACCCAGAGAGACACACAGCAAGCATCCACTACAAATCCTGTCCTTAGTAGGGCGGTGGTGGCGCACACCTTTAATCCTAGCACTCAGGAGGCAGAGGTAGGTGAATCACTGTGAGTTTGAGGCCAGCCTGGTCTACAAGAGCTAGTTCCAAGACAGGCTCCAAAAACTACAGAGAAACCCTGTCTTGAAAAACCAAAAAGAAAAAAGAAAAAAAAAGAAAAGAAAAAAAGAGAAAAAAGATCCTCTCCTTGCCACTACAAGTTCTATCCTTGCTATTACTGGCCACCAAAGCACAAGTGTCCATCACCACCTCCCACATCTTCTTCTCCTCTCTTCAGCTGTAGACATTTCCCAAAGCAAAAAAAAAAAAAAAACAAAACAAAACAAAACAAAAAGCTGGTCCTGTTCCTCTGAAGCTAACCAGAAGAGCAATGGGCTCCCTCAGGGAATGCTTTAAACATGTCTGGCTCAAACTGGAAGGATGATGCCCCTGCAGGTGGCTCCAAGGTGAGTGGAACCTGTCTGGTATGAATCTAGACATCTAGATGAAGCTCTCCCAAGATACTTGTTTAATAAACACAAAACTGCCTGGTCAACACCAGGGCTGCCTTAGCTGAGACTTACCTTTTACTGTAGCTTCCTTTTTTGTCTCAGATTCCTAAAAGGCAAACAGCAAGACAGCATTAATTCAAGAATCATTTCTTTTTGTCTGTTTGGGTTTTGTTTGGTTGGTTTTTGTTTCTTTGCTTATTTGTTTGTTTGGTTGGTTTTATTTGTTTCTTTGAGACAGAGTTTCTCTGTGTAACTGTCTGCTGACTGTCACAGAACAAACTCTGTAGACCAGGATGGCCTCGAACTCACAAAGATCCACCTACCTCTGCCTCCCGAGAGCCAGGACTAAAGGTGTGTGCCACCACCACCTGGAGACTATGAATCATTTCATATATAAATAAAATACCTCTTGGGCCAGGCTGGAGCTGTCAGTTAACTGAAATGATAATGACACGTTTGGATAATGGATCAAAAGCTAGATGTCACAGTGTGTCTTCTTACTGGTCACAACAATCACTGATGAAATGAGACACACACAGGAGACTCCTGTGAGGCAGCTTAGCCAGAGGTTTGCCTGACTTGGCACTTAGTTCATGTTTACTGTATGAACACGGTGCACATGCTTCAGAGAGGTCCCTGACAATCTTCTTCACAGCTGAGGAACAGCACACGCCGGGTACACTGCTGGCCTCAAGATGATGGAAACAGAACAGCAGGCTTCTGGTTATAAAGACACCAAGACCATTGAATACAAACTTTGACATCCCTAATATATTACTATTGAGCCCCCCAGTCTTGACTCTTCTAAAAGTAACAAAAATGACAGCTTCTCCATTGTTTACAGTCCTTGCTCCCTCCAGAGTCCCAAGCTGCCATTCTCAGGCTAGTGTGACTTAGGCCCTCATCAACCATTTTTCTTTTCTTTCTTTCTTTCTTTTTTTTTTAAAGATAGGGTTTTTCTGTGTAACAGTCCTAGCTGTTCTGATACTATCTCTTGTAGACCTGGCTGGTCTCAAACTCATGGAGATTTGCTTGCCTCTGCCTCCCTAGTGCTGGGATTAAAGGTGAGTGCCACCTCACCCAGCTCATTTCCGCCATATCCATCATAGAGAATCCCACATACTTTGTAATAACGCCCTGTGTCCTTACCTTATCTGGAACTGCCTCCTTAGAGACTGAGGCTTTCTCTGAGTCTTCGGGCAACCGGACAGTTAACTTGAATGTTCCTTTTCCTGGCCACACTAACTCATGATTCTCTTTCTTCAGAACATTCTGCCGAACTGAAGCATTAAAAAAATAAAAAGATTTTAAGCCAAATTTCAAGCAATATTTCCTTACATAACTAGTCCATGATTTCTACAAATACATTGTTATGAGCCAGCAGGGAGCAGCCCATCTCCCTAAGCAGCAAGCCCTTGTAAAAGAAGGAGAACTCAGCACAGGGATGTGAATGTCACTGTGTGTGCATTATTCATGTTGTAGATGTGTGGGCATATGGAGGACTGCACACCCCTGGTCACGTGGAGGCCACTGCAGGACACTGGGTATTTCCCTGCATTGCTCTCTGAGTTCTGGCCTGGAGATGGGGTTTCTTACTGAAGTTTTCTTATTGCCTAAGCTTGCTGTGATCTGCCCATATCTGGTCTCTACACTGGGCACATGGAGCCATGCCCAGCTATTTACGAGGGGACTGGAGTTTCAAATTCTGGCCCTCACACTTACACAGCAAGCTGTCTAACCCAGTGAGCCATTCCCCTGCCTCTAAACTTCCTGGGGTGGTGTGGTTTGTTTGTTGATGGAGCTTTCTTGAGACAAGGCTACTATGCAGCCCTGGTTGGTCTAGAACTTGCTCTGTAGACCAGGCTGGACTCACACTCATAGAGACCTGCCTGCCTCTGTCTCTCAAGTGCTGGGGTCAAAGCATGTGCTGCCATGCTTAGATTACTTTTTAATATTCATTGCTTTATCTTAGTTATTGAGTATTCCCCCCAAGGGCCTTGAGATTACAAACATGGTTGCCAGCTCATGGTCCTGGAAGTTTTAAGAAGTGAGTTCTAGAGGAAGTCGGATTTCCCCAGAGGAGGAGGTGATCCTGCGACCCCAGCCCTTTTCTCCTTTCTGTATCACTACATAGCCAAGAGTTCCCAATTGGGTGTACTGCCTTGTGCCATTGGCCCGAAAGGAGCAGGTCAATTGATTGTAGACCAAAAACTCCAAAATTGTAGAGCCAAGATAAACCCTTCCTCTATTCAAGATGATTATCTTGGATATGTTATCACACAAGGGAACTCTGGTGAATCCTGTCAGCATCCTGCTACACAAATCCTACTTACACAGCCTCAGCCTACTTATTGGCTATTGAGGTTGTTGGAATTGTTTTGAGCCAGTCAGTGAATTCCATTGAAGAAACATAGAGTGTAGTAGTACAGAGCCTGTACTGGACTGGGTGGGTTCTGAAGGTGTGAAGATTTATAATCACAGGGACAACTGTGTACATGGGGTGAGACCCATGCTGTAGGGAGATGACCCAGTTGGTCATCAGAATGACCAGAAGTCCAGCCATTAGACTGCAATGATAAACAACCCATATTTGGTCAGAAAGGAAACAGGAAAAAAAAAAAAAGACTAGAATGAGCCGCGGTGGTGGCACACACCTTTAATTTCAGCACTTGGGAGGCAGAGCCAGGCAGATCTTTGTGAGTTTGAGGTCAGCCTGGTGTAGAAGAGCTAGTTCCAGGATAGGCATGCCAGTTTTATACAGAGAAACCCTGTCTCAAAATGAAGCAAATCAATCAAACAAACACACAAACAAAAACAGAATACAACAGATTTTGCAAAAACAGAATTAGAGCACCAGACAGCTGACCTTAGTGAAACTCTACAGAATCCAAAGACTTGCCATTTGATTTCCAGCTCACCCACAGTCTAGCTGAGTGGCTATAAAGAACTAAACATTTCTGGAGCAGAAGTTCCCCACTGAAAGTATTTTCTAGGAACGCTGTCAACCACATGAAGAGCTATGAAAGTGTCAACTGTGATGTCAGAAGCTGAAGCCAGAGAGAAAAAAGGAAAATCAGTGTCGCTCAGATCATTGAGAAGCAGAAAGGAACCGGGAGGGGCGTGGCCAGCATAGAGAACAGGAAAGGAGCAGGAAGGGGCGTGGCCAGCATAGAGAACAGGAAAGGAGCAGGAAGGGGCGTGGCCAGCATAGAGAACAGGAAAGGAGCAGGAAGGGGCGTGGCCATCATAGAGAACAGGAAAGGAGCAGGAAGGGGCGTGGCCATCATAGAGAACAGGAAAGGAGCAGGAAGGGGCGTGGCCAGCATAGAAAACAGGAAAAGTAAGGAAGGGGTGTGGCTATCATAGAGAATGGGAAAGGAACATGAGAAGCGTGGCCATTATAGAGAACAGGAAAGGAACAGTGGGTCGTGGCCATTATAGATAAAGGGAAAGGGACAGGAAGGAGCATGGCCATCATAGAGACCCAATAGGAACAGGAAGGGGCATGGCCAGCATGGAGAATAGAAAAGTAACAGGAAGGCCCCTACCAGCATAGAGAACAAAAACGAAGGAGAACAGGAAATGAAAGGAAGGGGGCAAGGCCAGTATAGAGAACCGAAAGAAACAGGAGGGGTGTGGCCAGCTAGAGGATGGTGCAAACAGGTCAAGAAGAAAGATACCAGAGACTTGGTGTTCACAGCTACTGCAAGACATTAGGGTCCCCTTGTTCTCTGATGGACAGCTAGTCTGATGAGCCCAGAGCCTGTCACAAAGGGAAACATGATGGCTCTCCCACCTCAACCATGAAGTCGATATGTCTAGTGACTTCACTTAGATGCCCACCCAGATACAGACGTTACAATCCATCTGAGAAGGAACATGGGACTCTAATTCTACTCTGTGAGTAGTCAGGAGTTTCCACAGAAGCTGTACCAGTCTCTGAGGGGACTGAGAACTGTTTGACCTCAGGATGACCTCTGTGTGAACAGTCTGAAGCCTGTTACAGAATGTTCTGTACCTCTGTCTTACATTCCTCCTCTTTCCTGGACTTTCGTGAAGTCCATCCAAGGCATCCACGCATAGCCGTCTCTTCTTAGATGTGTGCAATGCGTACAGGCACAAGGATTGCCAAAAAGCCACGGTGGCAATAACAGTGTGTGATTCCCATCCAGAAAGTGAATCTGGGAGAAGGAGGCAAAATTCTGACGTCTAGTCTCTCCCCTGTACCCACCTCAAGTCAGCTATGTTCAGTTTTACTTAAGGAGGTGGGTTCTAGGGTCGCAGAGATGACTCCATGGTTAAGAACACTGGCTGCTCTTATAGAAGACCCCGATTCTGTTACCAGCTCCCACATAATGGCCTATGACATCTGTACGTCCAGTTCCAGGGGATCTGATGCCCTCTTGTGGTCTCTGCAAGCATTGCATGCATGTGGTATATAGACATATAAAGAGCAAACACCCATACACATACAATACAAATAAATCTTTTCTTTATGCTTGTATGGTTTTTAGAGACAAGGTTTCTCTGTGTAACAGTCCTTGCTGTTCTGGCATTTGCTTTGTAGACCAGGCTGTCTTGAAACTCACGAGATACACGTGCTTCTGCTTTCCCTGTGCTGGAATTAAAGGCGTGCCCCACCACTGCCCAGCCACAATTTTTTTTTTTAAGAAGGTGAGTTCCCTTATTACAAGAATACCTAGGCCCTCACTTAATAAACAGGGGCCCATTTAAGACTAGAATGTATGATAAAGTGTGTCCACCTGAAATGGGGTTACAGGGATTTGAGTTTGGGTCTGAGAGTATAGCTCAGTGTCCTAAGGGGGGAAAAACACCTACATACTGAACAGTACACAAACCCAGTTGACCTACAAAGGTGAGACCTCTCTGTTGGTACCGGTATACACTACTGCACTGGTAGGCTCAGTAGTACTGCCCAGCTGGTGTAGGTTTCTGTGAATAGAGCCACGCCCGCTCAGGGTGTTTCTGTGAAGAAGGGTGGGGCCTCTACAGGAAAGGAAAGCTACTGCCCTAGGGAAATTCCAGCTGCCTTGCTGCTGAGGAGGAAGTGGGGCCTCAAATAGGAAACTGAAAGTGAATAGAAGTTCTAGTCACCCCAAAGACTGGCCTGCAACAATGTTCCATTTTAGTGTTCTGAGTCATCTGTGTTGGGAGTGAATGAGAGGAAGCAGCTGAGCCACCTGGGAGAAGAGGGGGCTGTGCACTGGGAGCCCCTGAGGGAGAAAGCTGAGCTGGGGGTGTGAGCCCAGCCTCCACCTCAGCTGCCCAGGGCCTGCTGTGAAGGCTACAGCTGGGACTGCACCCTCACTACCATACTTCCCCCTGCCGTGTATGTCACTAAACTACCAGTATCTATAGATCTCCATTTTGTTGGTTTGAGGCTCTCAATAAACAACAGATTTTTCAGACTTCAGCACGTCCCAGTCACCTCAGAGGGCTGGTGGCAAACGCTTCCCCACACACCCACATTCTCTGTACTACATTGTCTAGAATAGAGCTGGGCTGGATCTAGTTCCTCCACCCTCCTTGTGACCAGGATGCAGTAGTCTGTACCCCTAACCTGCGACCAGTATTTGAAGACAGCTCCAGAGAAGGGCACACTCCATAAGGGTTGTGTCTACTGGGGTAGTGACAGCTGGGATCAACCTGGGAACCCTCTAACCCTCTGAGGTGGTTCTCAAAGGTCCTTTCTCAGAGGTAGCCTAAGACCATCAGAAACAGAGATTTTTACATTACACTTCATAGCAGTAGCAGAATTACAGGTATGAAGTAGCAATGAAAATAATTTTATAATTGGGAGTCTCCAGAGATTGTATTATAGGGTTGTAGCAGTAGGAAGGTCGAGAACCACACTGCTCTAAGAAAAGAGAAAACAGGTTCTGCTGTCAGCTCTCTGTGGAGCCCACCCTGGTGAAATCCAACCTAGGACTATTATTCAGCGCCCTGCAGGTCTCTCCTGCCTCCTGACCAGGCTTTCTGAAACCGTGTATCAATACCTCTACACCTGTCTCTTTCATTTTTTTCTTCTTGGCTCCTTGTTGGGCTGTTATCTAGTCTACAGCCTGGCTTCCTTGGCCTCCTAGCCCCTCGTTAGCTCCAAAGGTCTCTCCAAATCCAAGGACATGAGGGAGGAATTGTCTGCATTCTGAGGGTTGCCCTGGTCTACAAAATCTCAGGTGGGGCCTGGTGGTAGTGGCACACTCCTTTAATCCCACCACTCTGGAGGCAGAAGCAGGGCAGATTCCTCTGAGTTCAAGGCCAGTCTGGTTTACAAGAGCAAGTTCCAGGACTGTCTCAAAAGCTACAGGGAAGCTCTGCCTCCTAAAACAAAACAAACAAAAATATCTCAGGTGGGAACTAATGGTGGCCTTCCTGGAGCCACAGGTCTGGGCAGTCACCACCCTGAGCAAGCAAGGCTGAGCCTCCCTTGCAGATTGCAGACAGAAGTGGGGAGCATTCAATTGCTCAATGGTTCTGGAGCCTTCCTGCCATGAGGGAACCCTCCACTGGAACCCCCACCCCAGCTCAAAGCCCACAACCACTTCAGGTCACCCTGGGGCAGAAGGACAAAGAAGGACTTTGTCCAGGCTGTGGCGCTAGAGCCCTGGGGCTTTTCCCTCCTCAAGCTCATCTCCCAAAGACATTGTCCCCCCCACCCCCCAGCTAGTAGAACTCAGTAGTGCTAGCTGACCCAAGACTCTGCAAGATTCTTAATTCTTTAACTGCACCACTTGAATAATAAAAACATTTTTAAAAAGGAAAAGAAAGGAAGAAAGAAGGAAAGAAAGAAGGAAGGAAGAAAAAGCAAAGCACAGGAAGGTTCACAGCACCAGGAAGCTCCTGGAAGAGCAAGGGAACTGCCACTCCTGGATGCGCTGGCCATTCCCGATTCTGAACCCCAGGATCTCCTGCTCCCATCGCGCTGCTCAGAGTTCTGGGCCCGGCACCGATGGCCTGAACCCCGCGCGGGGCGACCCTTTTCGACCTTTTAGCCTCTCACCGTCCTCCGGGGAAAAGAGCACCAGGAAGCTTGCCGGGCTCCCGGGCTGTGGGACGACCTCGCACTCCCCTCCGCCCGACTTCTTTCGGCTCTGGAAGTACATTTGCAACTTGTTGATTAAGGTCTTCGGGGGGTCTAGGCCCCAAGACCCCTCGACCATCAGCGGGAAGGGCCCGGACTCTGCCATCCTGGCAGGCCTGCGAAACCGCTACTGCTGGGTCGCCTAAAGCTGCGCAGAGTTTACTCTGAGTTAACTTCTCTTTCGGTTTCATTTCCTGGAAATTCCTCAGCGTCCTTACTTTCTATTTTCACCTAGTTGACCCCGAACTGGAATAAAGCATCACCCCCAAACCCCCCTCCACACACCCAAGGACCCTGGGACACTCCCAGTCCCCTCTTTATTTTCCAGCCCCCCACAGAAGTGAGTCAATCCCCCTGAGCGGGCAGTCCCCAGGACTCTGGGTCTGCAGTGCACCTTCACAGTGGCTCCCTAGCTGGGCTCAGCCTGCACTTCACCCCAGCCACAGCTGAGCTTTGCTCCATCCCTAGGATAACTTCAGTATACCTGAAATCCACATTGTATGACAGAAGAAAAGGGGCTCACAAATGATCCTCTCCGAATACTCCCTGCTCTCTTGGGGACCACCCGTCAGAATTTAACCTGCCCTTTTCCTGCTTCTGAATTCTGTTTTCTCTTCCGTGAACACTGTGTCTACAAACTCCCAGTTTTGAGGAATGTGAGCTAAGCACCGATCATGTGTGCAACTAAGGGACACAGATGTGGGGACACGGGAAAGAAGACAGTAAACGGGTGTTGCTGGAGTAGGAGAGCAGTGGCTCCCAGCCTAATTAAGGGAAGGACAGAAGAGCTTATGGGCAGGTGACTGGGCACCTGAAGCCTAAGGACTATTGAGAAAGGACCTTAGAGGACTGGGGGAGGGGAGACTCTGGGTGGTGACTCACATGCACAGAATCACTAGGGCTGCTCTTGGTGCTGGAGTGGACTCAGGAGAAAGAAGGCTGCCGACCTGCACACTCCAGAGAGACCTGGAGGAAACGTGGGCTCTAAGCTGCCAATGAAGGCAGCATTTGCTGAAGGATGTGAAAAGTTCATCCTGGAGTGGGGCATCCTGGATCCTAGCGCAGGAGTGAAGAGGGCTGACTGGGACAGGGGTGAGAAGAGCTGGGAACTGTGTGTCCTCAACATGCAATGAGCGGATGTGTGAGACAGTTAGAGGCTTTGCCACTCCAGGGTTAGGGTGTGCTGTCCCTCTGTGGGCCCAGCAGCCCAGTCTGATGAAAACAGAGAGGGCGGGGAGTCTGGGGAGGCCTAAAGTCTGAGAAAAGGAGGAAGTAGAAGCTGCAAACCTAGCCAGACCTTTTCAGAAGGTGGCTGAACAGGAAGATGGGGAGTCAGGCTGTGGTGGGGGTGGGAGTTTGGGCTCAGAAAGTCTTTATGTTTGTTTCTTGGATTTAAATATTTTTTCTCCTCTTTTTTTTATTTTGAAAAATATCAAACCTACAGAAAAGCTACAAGAACAGAAATGAAGACCTGTAGACCTTTCACCAGAAGCACTAGTTTTCAACAATCTGATGTGTTTACTTATTTTAAATACATTTTTATTTTTTTTTATTTTATTTTGTTTTTTTTGAGATAGGGTTTCTCTGTAGCTTTGGAGCCTGTCCTAGAACTATCTCTTGTAGACCAGGCTGCCCTCAAACTCATTGAGATCTGTCTGCCTCTGCCTCCCAAGTCCTGGGATTAAAGGCGAATTTTATTTTTCTTCACAGCTGAAATCTCTCCTGTAAATATGCTCCACATGTTCTCTCTCCATTAGCTGAAACTTAAAAAATTGTTTTACGTGTATGGGTGATTTTCCTGGATGTATGACTGTGTGGCATGAGAATGACTGAGACCTAAGAGTCCAAGCTGCCCCGGATATAACCACAAATCCAGCTGGGCTAGACAGTCACTTAAGAGACCACCCCCAACAAGGTAGATTTCCCCAGGAAAGTATGTCTGAGTCTCTTTAGCAAACTTCTGAACTTTTTATCCCTCTCACTTTTAGGGAGGTAATTGTATCTGGATCTATTTGGAATATTTGTATACCCTGACTTTTAAGGAGATGATTTTATCTGGCTCTATTTGGAATATCTGGATACCCTGGAGATTGTGGTAACCCCAAAGATGCCAGAAACTTTCTTCATAAGTCATGACCTCTTCTTGGCGCATCTGCCCCTGAGCAAACTCAAACAGGGTAATTAACACAATGTAAACTTAAAGACAACTGACAAGCTCCAGCTAACTGGGAAGTTTGGTAACAGACCAGAGGCTTCCTCTTACATTATATTCTGAGTCTGATGAGTGAATTTGTTATGATTTTATGTTATGATTTTAATATGTTAAGTTACTCTGGCAGGTCCCACTGAAGGTATGGGACCACGATGGGTAAGGGACAGAGAGATATGCCACACACAGAGAGCTTGGCTATGGAGAGTTTATTTTGTGGGCTGGGAGGGTAAGGGGGGCATATGGAACAGGAAGAGAGAGAAAGAGAGAAGGAGAAAAGGGGAGAGAAAGGGGAGGAGGAGGATGGCACGAGCTGCCTCTTCAGAAGGAAGGAGAGAGAGAGAGAGAGAGAGAGAGAGAGAGAGAGAGAGAGAGAGAGAAATGGAAGATAACCAGAGGGCCAGAGGGGACCAGCTTGCCTTGGAGGGAAAGGGAAGATTAGGATGGGTGGAGCTTTGCTCTTAAAGCATTTCCTTATACTCTGAAACTTTTTTTCCCTCAGACCTTTATAACATGCAGATACACACCTTAATAACTTGCATTTATATACCTTAAAACACCTTGTTTGAGCTTTGCATCTTTATTGATATAAATTTAATTGAGCTTCGCACCTTAAAACACCTTTTATTTAACATGGTAAGAAGTTATGCTGAAATCTGTTTTGTGAGGTTGTCCCTTTCCAACTGACAAAAGCTCTTAGCCATCAAACTGCACCAGAGATCTTGAGAAGGACAAAACTTTATCTGAGTTACTGATGTAAAAATGACAGAGAACTTACTCACTTGGCTACCTAGACAGTCGCTCCTCAGGGTCCTCCATGGTCATTGAGGGCAGGGGTTTCAGAATAGTTTTTGTCTTCTGCTGTTAGTGCAGGCCTGCCAGGCTTCAGAAGATCCTGTGAGGTTAAAAATTTGTAGGAAGACTAGCCTACCTTTCATAGACAGCCAGGGAGTCGATTCCAGTTTTCCTCCCTCTACTGTCTGGAGATCTTCAGGAGTTTAGATGGAAGGCAGTTTTTCCCAGTGGTTAGTGCCTTCACATGAAGGGAGTTATGGATGGACGTAGTCCTTGCCCATCTGTCTTCTGTATTCTGCCTTCTTTGGAGGAAATGGAGTGGGGCTGGCAGGATCCAACCTGTTTCTCTGTTATGAAAAGCCTTTTAATAATTAAACATTTAAATGCTATATTTCCCAGATATTTGAGCATTCGAGGGCTTTTATTAAGTATGTATAAGTTATAACTACAGTATACGATCTGCCTGCAGAGCTGGGTCCAAGCTGAGAGGTTGTGGAGGAATGTTTTATCCAGAGTCCTCCAGCTTGACTGTACTGGATTTTAACTTAACAGGTGAGCTTTATACTTGTGAAGGACAAAGAAGAAAAATGTTTGCAATAGAAGCTTAACAATAAAGCTGACAATAGTGCAGAACATCTTTTGTTAATCTGAAATAGATCTTTATAACCTTAAATTTTTATCATTGTATAGAATCATTTTAAAGCAGAATTGAATCACATATGCAGTATGTAGTAGCATATTTAACCACATATTTATCATCATTTAAACGTACATACCAATTTAAAATATTGAGGATTATTGCTTCCTTAGTCTGGAAGGAGATACAATGCAGAGAGCTCATTAGGGCTGCTTAAAACTTTTTTTTAACAGTAAGTCCATGTATATACACATGCAGTAATTTAAGTTACATGTAAAGTTAAATGAAAAGTGAGGAAGAGAAATATGGCTTTTTTTTTTTTAAAAAATCACTGACTGATACTTTGCAACAAGGAGGAAGGGGAGAGAGAGAGAGAGAGAGAGAGAGAGAGAGAGAGAGAGAGAGAGAAAGTGGGGAATTAAAGTTGCAGATTTTAGCAGGTGGGAGAGAACAGATGTGGTGCAGAGGTCGTCTCTGCATGTAATGGACACCTCAGTGGGCCCTGCGAAGGTGTACATCACACAAACACACCACATGCAACAGAGTCAACATAAAAGTAATTTTTCAAAGCATAGCTAATAGCTTAAAGATAGCTGGTGAGTCATGTGGGGGTAGCCTGCTGCTGGCCCCGATTGGCTTTGGGTGGAGCCTGACATGTCTGTGGCTCCTCCCTGTCTTTACCTCAACAAAATGGCAGTGGTTGCCCCTAACAAAGACCATGCAAAGCAAGAATGTGGAGCAAAGCAAGAATGGCGGGGATTTTGAAGAGACAGAAATAACAAGAGAGACATATAGGATGCTTAAGGCATACATTTAAACAGACTCACATCAGTACGACCACACATCATTCACACATACTTTCATACATGAAGTGCACAGGAAACTTTTTAGCGCGGTCAGCTGCAGTTTTGTGAGAAGAGGTACAGATCCCCCTCAACCCCCCACGTGACGTCTGGGAGAGTCTGAGGGGTTAGAATAGGCGGTAGAAGCTCCAGGTGCTGGCATGCAGGAGGGCGGGTTGTGGTGGTGCTGACGGAGGTGCCTCAACTGTAGTCTCAGTGGAATGATGCTAAGTCAGGCCTAGAGTGAGCTTCTCGCACCATGAAACTGCCCTGCCTCTGAGGAGACATCGGGGACCAGATGTGCAGTGGTGGTTGTTCCTAGGCTGAAAAGTCACCCGGGTGGGACGAACTGAGCAGTGGCAGGGTGACCAGGACTGAAAATTGGTTTGCTGGCTCCCGCAGAACCCGCAGTGGCAGTGGAGGCAGAGGCAGGGCTCTGCAAATGGATAAGACAGACAGAAGAAAGACAGATTCTGCCACAGACAGGCTTAGCCACTGTGGGAGGCAGCCAGGCAGAGGGAAGTGGCCAGTTTCTAAGGGGTACTTCCATAGCTCAGGATGGGAGAGAGAGAAAGGAGACCCAATGGCTACCTTGTCTACAAGCGTCTTGAGGCAGAGCAAGGGTTCCAGTGATTGGTTCAGGCCATCTGACAGGTGCCAGGAAGCCTGGGTCACTTGGTTTTTATGCCCTACATTGACTTTGGTTTGTGAGTCTGTGTCTGCCTACTCAGTCAGGGCAGTGTGGTATTTAGATGAACTTTTATCTCCACCTGACTAAGCGGCAGAACCGAGTGGCCAGCACCTGATAACCCTGGGATTGACAACCTGGACGATGTACTTAGGTGTCGTAAGTGCAGCCTTATTTCCCCTAATATGTGGGCCCTGAACTTCCCTTCTGGCCCTATACGAAGGGTTACTCAGAAAACACCAGAAATGGCTACAAATAAATTCCCAGCATCACTGGACACAAATGATGAATGGATCGGAGAGAAATAGTCTGTGTTTGGAGGGGTGGATACTTGTCAGCTGGGAAGCTTTGGGGGGCTGAGCAGTTCCCTCTTGGTCCATCACGTCCTTGCTAAAGGCTGACCTCTGGGTGCACTGTTGTATATGGGGAGTCAGCAGGGAGTCCTGTATCAGTTTCTCTGCCCTTTTGCAGGTAAGAGTTTGGGAGCTGAAATGGGATACGATAGAACATCATTTTTAAATTGCTGCTTCTGTGTGCTCTGAATCGGGAAGGAAGACAGAAAAATCCAGCTTTTTTCTTTGATGAAAAATAAAGCTTCACTGTAACTATCTAACAGCAGCAGATTTTCCATTTTCATTTTACTCTGATGAAATTAAATAGGTTTAGTACACATATTGTGTGTCTGTTGTAGAAACTCCTTCAGCCAGTTGCTTTTAACATACCAGCCCACTTGAGTGGGACTTCTTTTACTATAAATGCTGATGTAAACCACGTGCTTACTCTCTTTCAGTTCTTGGATTCAGTTCCTGTTCTCCGTTTGTGCAGGGCACTGTAATCTGGGAATCTACCCCTAAAAAGTAACCCTTTATTATACTCAATTCTGAGCCAGTGTGGGATTTCCTTTTAGCATTCATATTCATTTGGCACCCACGTGGATCCCAACTCCATGCCTGCAGCGTGGACCAGCCTAAAAGGCACAAAAGGTCCGTAGCCCAGAAGGTCTCCCACTCCTACCTGCCTGCCTGTTTTTTTTTTTTTCCTTACAAAACCCCACCGTAGTGGAGTTAAGCGTGCCTTGGCTTGGAAAGTTCTCACACACACCTGCTTCTGCTTCTCCACTCTTCCCCTGCTGCGTGGGAGTTTTTGTGGTGCTTCTGTTGCTCGGGTTTGTTTTCCCTGCTTGGGAGCTCTGGGCTCCTTAATCCAAAAACACCTCTCTCCGTGTACGGAATTGATTTAATTGCTCTTAAGCAGAGAGCAAAGCATATTTGTCAGTATTTATCCAGGCACCAATGTGCAGAACCAAAGCAGCATGGGACCGTTCATGCCACCACCAACTGCATCTCACTGCCACATTGCCGCAACTGCGACGCCTGCTGGCCAATAGAGATTATTACAATACGACAATTTAGCAAAATCTCATAACCAAGATAACTATTTGATTCACAAATAAATCAGTAAACTTGAAAGTTATATAATTGCAAATAATATAGCCAACCAGGAATTTAATAACCTCCTTGCTTATACTATGCATATTAATCAGCAAGGCTTATATGGTTTTTCTGATACATCCATTTATTGGATATTGGAACTTGTCCCTACCAGCAGGATATGAACCCGGAACCCGGACCCTGAAGGAGAGGAATGAGAGGAACAAGAGACATGAGAAATGGACAGCAAGTCTGTATTCTGATCAAGCTGCAAATTTTATTTTTTCTCAGGAGCATTATACAGCAAAAGGGGAGGAGTGGGTAGGTTGCTATGCCATTGTTCTAACTGGAATGTCAGGTCTGGAGACATCCCTAGATGATAGGTAGTGATAAGGAAATTCTGAGGGTCTGTAAATGTTTGCTCACAGGGAGAATGCTAATTACTTCTGGGTACTGGGGGTCTTCAAGTCTACAGGCATACTTAACTCACAGGGAGAGATAAGAAGATACTGGGTTATTTCCTGGGCCTGGAACTTGTCCTACAGGGGTGAATATCTTACTTAATTTGTGAACTAAGATGGCTGGACTATAACCAAATACAGGTATTTGCTCCCAGTAGGGACTTAGTTTTCTTTCTTCAAATTATATCCTTAAGAAAATGGTTTGATAACAGAGTGAAGAATGAGCCACTTTTGGAAATGATACAGTCTTTATAGAGTAATAATGAACAGCAAACTGACAGGACTAATAGCATAAAAAATAAAAAGTTAGCTAAAAAAAATTAATACTACTGAAAAGGATAACATTAATCTGCTAGACAAAATTCAATCCATGTCAATGGATACTGAGAAATTATCTGAATGAATTCACACTGTTGAATTTGACAACCAAAATCTGTTAGAAGGCTATGATAGGTTAGCAGATAGAGTATCCCTTAAAGAAGGCAATTTACACACTAACCAAATAATGTGCAAGAATAAGATGTTATCTTTACAGGAAAAACTTCAGACCTTGGAATCACATGTACAGAATGAGAACCAGAGGCAGGGTGCCTCAATGAAATCACTAGAAATATATACAGGACAAGAGATTTAGGTTTTACAAATGATAGTACTAAAAATATTTGAAGTGCTTGAGGAAATTATTGAGGGACTGATGAACAGGGAATGAATGTTCAAGGACAGGCTATAACATCGCCAGTACCTGTAAGAGTCAGAGATGACTTAGCCAGGGTTTTAGCTTCCTACTCTGTAAACAACTCTGAAAAGCATCAAGCTCTAAATGCCCCAAATGATCCAAAGAATGTAGTTGAATACCTATAGGTATGAATGATCTAAAAGTAATTAAGCAAGCAGTAGTATCTTATGGCTTACATTCAACATTTGTTAGGGGAGATGGTAAAGACAAGGGCTTCTAGCCACGTGATTGGCTTCAATTAGTTTCAGCAGTCTTGGAAGATGGGCCACAAGTACTGTGAAAATGCTATTGGAAAGAAGAGTAAAACATTTTAGAACTACAGGGAAAGTCAAAAGGATTGAGGCTTCCCAAGATCAAATTCTTGGCAAGGGCTTTTATGCTAACCCACAGGATCAAGCTCTTTACCATGAGCAAATCTTGTCCTTATGCCACACAGAAGCCTTAAATACTTGGGACAGGATTCAAGAACTAGGAAAGCTAATTGAATCATATACCAGGGTTAAACAGGGCCAGAGAGAACCCTGTAGTGACATTTTACAAAGATTAACTAAGGCTGTACAAGTAGAAATAACAGACCCAGAAGCTAGATGAGTACTTAATGAATCTCATTCTTTTAAAAATATCAACTTAGAATGCAAAAAGATACTTGGGCCTTTAAAGGTTAGATCAGCAGCAATAGATGACTGGATCCTGCATACAATGAACGTTGAGACATTTGACTATAATACTGAATATTGGGTAGGAGAAGCAATTTCCAAAGGTAAGAGGAGACATCAAAATGCCAAATGTTTTAATTGTGGTAGAATAGGACATCTAAGAAGGAGTTGTAGACAAGGAATTCCTAGGAATAATGTCTCCTCTGGAAATGGCAAAAATAAATGGTATTAACATTCTGGATTATATAGGAGGTGTGGCTAAGAAAGACATTAGAACAATGAATGCAGATCAACAAAAGACAGACAGAGCAAACTGATACAATTGGGAAACTCCTTGAGGGGAATCTCGCAGGCCCCCAAGGAAAACGTGGTCCAGTCATTACCAGTCCCTGTAAAGGACATGTATCACCAGGAAAATTAAAAATTCATGACCTGCTGTCATAAACCATATTGTCCTGGATGGTGTAGTAAACATGGGGGATGAATCAAAAATTCCAATAAGAAATAGAAGCATATATTGTGAGAGACTTCTATAAATGATCAAAGAACACAGGTAAGAATGTGTGTAAAAGACATTGTAATTGAGGAATTACTAGGCACGGATGTGGACATGAGTTTCATTACTCCAGAATCTTGGCATCCAAATTGGCCTTTTCAAGAGGCAGATATTCAATTTCTAGGAATTAGAACCCTATCTGAAGTGAAACAAAGCACAAGATGGTTAAATGCATAGGGCAAGAAGGACAGAGAAGAAGCCTGAGGCCCTAAATGGCTAATATCACAGTCAATACATGGAGTCATGACTTGCTGCAGCAATGGAATACCCAGATTAGCTTTATTGTTTCTGGGAAGGATATTGTAAGGTACTATATACAAAGGTCACTGCCATTCAGGCTGTATAAGAATACAAAGCAACTGACAAACCTTTAGAGGTACCAACAGACCTACCTTTAAAATGGTTAACTGAAAAACCAATATGGGTTAATCAATGACCTTCAATAAAAGAGAAACTGCAGGCTTTAGTACATCTGGTATAAGAGCAACTTGATGCTCATCATATTGAAGAATCAACCAGCCCTTGGAACTGTCCTGTATTTGCTGTTAAAAAGAAATCTGGAGCTCTTGCTGCAGCAAGGCGAGTGGGAGCACCTGGAGCGCAAGCTCAGAACGAGACTCCACAGGTTGTAAGAAAATGGCAGACAAGCCAGTCATGGGGGAAATAGCCAGCTTCGATAAGGCCAAGCTGAAGAAGACCGAGACTCAGGAGAAGAACACCCTGCCGACCAAAGAGACCATTGAACAGGAAAAGAGGAGTGAAATTTCCTAAAAGCCCAGACTGGAGGATTCCCCCACCCCACCCCGTCATCTCCAAGACCCCTTAGTGATGTGGAGGAAGAGCCACCTGCAAGATGGACGCGAGCCACAAGCTGCACTGTGAACCTGGGCACTCCGCGCTGAAGCCACTGGCCTGCAGGGTCTCTGAAGGGGGACCCCCCACTAATCGGACTGCCAAATTTCACCGGTTTGCCCTGGGATATTATAGAAAATTATTTGTATGATTGATGAAAATAAAACACCTCGTGGCATGGCAAAAAAAAAAAAAAGAAATCTGAAAATGGAGAATGGTGACAGATCTAAGAGCTGTCAACAAGGTAATTCAAGCCCTCTACAATCTGGAATTCTCCTCCTTCTCTATTACTATAGGATGGCCACTTATAGTTATCTATTTAAAAGATTGTTTCTTCACTATACCTTTACAAAAAAAAGTACAGAAAAAAATTTGCCTTCACAGTGCATACTTAGAATAACCTTTAGCATGCCAGGAGATACCAACAGACTGTCCTCCCACAGGGAAGTCTCAATAGCCCATCCTGTGCCAATATTTTGTCAGACAGCCATTAGAAATACTATGTAAACAATTTCCTAAACCTATTATTTACCATTACATGGATGACATTTTGCTAGCTGATTCAAATGTAGATACTTTAGAAAGAATGTTTAAAGAAGAATGTTTTTCCTAAATGGGGATTACAAATTGTTCCTGAAAAAATACAATAAGGAGATTTTGTCAATTATCTAGCTTATAAAATAGGCTTACAGACAATTAGAACACAAAAGGCACAAATTAGGAGACACCAATTGCAGACTCTTAATGACATTCAAAAATTGTTAGGAGACATCTCCAGTCTATGACTAGATGTTGGGATGACACCTTATCCAATAAGCCATTTAAACAAAACCTTAGATGGTGACAAGAATTTAAAAAGTCTCAGAGAATTAACAGCTGATGCTGAAAAGGAATTGACTGGTTTTTTTTTTT